TGTTTTACAATATTACTAAATTTTAATTTTATATCACCAAATTTCTACATTGTAATGTTACCAAATTTCCACATTATAATATTATCAAATTCCTATATTATAATATTACGAAATTTCCATATGATAATATTACTAAATTCCTACATACTTTATAACATTTTCAAATTTTGATATAATAATATTACTAAATTTCTACGTTATAACATTACCAAATTTTGTATTTTATGTTACCAAAGTTCTACATTATAATATGACCAAATTTTTATACTATAGTAATACGAAATTTCGATACTATAATATTACCAAATTTCTATATTATAATATTACCAATATCACCACCTTTCCCCAATCTCTCTATTCACCGAATAACACCTAACATCAACCGGAAGCCCAATGAACCGACAACAACCCGCCATCAGTGATAACAGCCAGCCGGTTGGCGTTCGGCTAGTAAAATCAAGGGGGTTGGGCGTACGCCGTTGCACCCGGAAGTGGGCCACCAGGACATGAATATCGGTGTATGGATGGTTATATGCAGACCCAGAGACGGCTGTGGCGTGAAAATAAGAAGTCTTGGGCGCCTAACACGCGCCGAGTGGCGACGGGTGTCTCGATCTCTTGGGCCGCCTGAGCACACGCGTATCGACACTGCCCCCTCCTCCTCCCCCCCGTCGAAAGAAAAACGGCCGTAGGGAGAGCAAGCGAGAAAGGTGGTTTCGGCGAAACTTCGGCGCGAGGGGGTGGGGGCGGTTGTGAAATGTGCAAGGAAGGATGCAGTGGTGGTTGCCGTCGACAGAACGAATCAGGACCAGTTTCAGGCCTGCACTCACGGTTTATACTCACGTTGTCTACGGCCGCTGTCCACGAACCAGACCAGGAGTACACAGCCAGGAGAAGAAGAAGAAGACGAAGAAGAGATAGAGGAGCAGAATAGTAGAAAGAGAAAAAAAAAGGGGAGAATCGTGTTCGGTCGGTGGTTTCGAGTTGAGGGTCAGAGGAAAAAGGAATAGAGAGACAGAGGACCATGTACCATCGCGTGTTCACCCTTTTGTTGGTCAGTGCGGTGACCTTGAGCAGCGCGCAGTTTCGGTGCCCGGAACCGAAGGGGTTCTTTCCGGACGCGGAGCAATGCGACCTGTACTATGTTTGCTTGAACGGTAAAGCGGAGGAGAAATTGTGCAAAGACGGCCTGGTGTTTAGGGACGACAACCCTAAGAAGGAGCTGTGCGATGTACCGGCCAATGTGCCATGTGGAGACAGAAATCTTCTTCGTAAGTTCCCCTGCTTTTTTCTTCTACTTTGATATTCATCCTTGTCAGAGTTGAACACGATTTTATTTGAATAATAGATAGTGAGATGACAGTACAGTAAATCCTCGATGAGTGTTCGAAGGCTCCTGGGCACTGAACATTAAATATTTCATAATTGAATCGTCATATGCGGCTGAAACAAATATTGGCTTGAGAATTCCAAGTGTGTTGAACCTCATTAAAAAGTCAGCGTAACACTTGGGGACCTCTCATGGTCAATGCCGAGGAACCTTCGAACACTTATCGACGATTTACTGTATCTTGACCTTTAACCGGATCATTGCATCTTTTTGGTATCTTGTACAAACATTTTTTTTCATAAAACAAGAACCACTAGTCATTCTAAGGATTATTTTAAACATTTTTACAAATATTTTTTTTATAAACAATGCTTTTGCTCACGATAAATAACAAACAGTAGTAGTCGCAGTAACACCGTTTTTCTAATGTTTGGATGTCATTTAAAGAAGTTTCGCACTTCCGATTGTCAAGAAATGTTTCAGATATAGTCACGAAAATGATAAAGTAGGCGTCTACTGTAGTTGACAAATGTAGTCAGCGGTTTAACACTAGGTATACATATATTGACACTAGATAGTATATTTATTTCTATCTGATGGATAAACATGACCTTTTGAAAATACTCAAATTTATGTATAGGGTGTCTCAAAAAGATGGGACAATCCCCAACACGGATATTTCTCATGCAAATACCTATCGAAATGTCCTTTAGCAAGTAAACGAACTCATACATATGCGCAGACACAGTCAAGAATTGCACAATTCACAGAGTTGGGTTTTATTCGAATAAAAATTCGAATAAATTTTTCGAATAAAAGTTGCGAATAAAACGAATTTATTCGAGAATAACGAATCAATTTTTATTCAAATAAGAATTTATTCGAAGCAGAGTTGGGCGTTATTCGAACAAAAGTTGCGAATAGAACGAATTTATGCGAGAATAAAAAAATTTATTCGAAGGAATCAGCGAAAAAAGCTTACGTCATCGGCGGCACGCACCAGCGGCGTATACGTGCATGAGTGAATGTGTGAGTGGAGTGTGGTAGGAAGTGAAGCCAAGTACCGTGACGACAGATCCGTAGCGCGTAGAGATAACGAAGTTATTTGGAATAACGAATAACGCTACACATTTATTCGTAATTAACGAATAATTTTTTGTTGAATGAAATCATTATTCATTATTCATAAATAATTTTTCTGTGTTATTAGAAATAAAATTTGCTCAAAGTCAGGGATTGTTAACATTAGGCGAATCTAAGCAATTGATTAACGGTAAAATTAATTATAATATGACGTATCAACGCTTTATAATATCCTACTTAGAAAACAAATTTAATGAAATAAAGATTCACTATAATGTCATAGTTAGTTAATTAAAATCATTCGTGCTGTATGCGAGAGTTCGAGAAATTTATAAAATTCGACGTAACAGTTTCGATTTTTCTTTCGAGAAAATATTTGAAGATTATGAAAATAGATTAACTCATGAGTAGTATTAATAATAATTATTAAAGTATTCATAGTTATAACAAAGCAGCGTAATTATGACAAGAAATATAATAGAAAATTTATTTTAAAAGAAACAGAGGTATTGTAAGTGGTAGAAGCTCGAGTTAAAAGAACCACTCTATAGCTAAGGAAACGTCATCAATAGTCAATCGCCATCTAGAAAAGGGTTCCCCTTTATTATTTTTTTTTAATGGACGGGAAGTGGTGTCGCTTACTCCTGACTTTTATTCGCTGCGGAGTTAGTTCAGAATAACGAATAACGAATAAGAATAATGAATAAAGACTTATTCATGAATAACGACTAACGAATGACGCTTTATTCGTGACTAGCGAATAATTTTTCGTCGAATAAAATCGTTATTCGTTATTTGCGAATACATCTTGGAACTTTATTCGTTATTCGGTATTTATTGTTCGAAATAAAATTTGCTCAATTCTGACAATTTGTCGTTTGTCAGACGACTCGTCTCAACCCAGTCTGGGTCGTCGACCCAAGTCACTAACCTCTGTTCGCTCAGCTGATCGTTAACTGTTAAGTCGAGTTCGTTTAACTACTAATGTCTCGGAAATGGAGCTTCAAATTCCAAAGGGTAAAGGACTTTTCGATTTGTATTTGCAAGAGCAATATCCATGTTGCGGATTGTCCTGTCTTTTTGGGACACCCTGTATATCATGGAGTTTCTTGCTAAACTCATGCGAAGAGTCTACCGGTGACGACAGAACATCTAATACTGGTCAGCCCAAAGTACGACATTCTTCGCAACAAATACAAGCTGGAACCTTGACTCCACGAAAATCTGAATAACAACAAAATAACTAGAGTACTCGGCGTCATCAAGGAAACAAAATTAATAGACAAAATATAATAAAACAACAAGGACTGTTCAACGTTACTAATGACTTTGTAGTTGATGCGACGTAGAACCCTTATTAAAAAAATTAAAAAAAAATAATTTCTTCATTTTTATACTGCAATATAAGTTGTGACAGATCTGGGGAAATGTATTGTTGTTACATTTTAATCATTGTTGTAGGAGTTAAAAATATAGTCAGTTATTTTGACCGCTTTGGTAGTTCTAGTGTCAAAACTGTCAAAACATTAAGCGTCTACTGATTTCAGAAAAAAAATTATTGTATTATAAAAATTGGAAATTCCACGTTTAATCAATTAGAAATGGGGAAGTACTATTTTTATCTTTTATTCGTTATTCGAAACTCTTTATCTAGGTAATAAATTTGCCCGTATCTGACCCTTGTTTGTCAAATCGACCCTGCAATGTTTGGGTTAATTTGACTTGATGTAAGACTTCAGCTTTCAATTATTAGGTGCATAAATAAGTAGTCCATTATTTCTTCTAATGATGAAGCAATAGACTTTAAGTTAAAGGTATCTTCTCCATTTTTCACTGAATACAAATGGTGTAGGATATTGAAAAATCATTGCAAATACAAGTGAGACAGTATAGATTCTTGATTTCCATAGAAAGGAATTCGATTTCGTCGAGAAATAGTGGATAACGTATTGCTACATTTAATATATTCTTTGTCAGAAAAACTTGTAAGTTAATTTGACACTAGCAGTTTACATGATAACGATCAAGCGATATGTAAGTATGTTTCCTTAATTAGATTTTAGCTTGGGCCATGTTTAATTTAGAATATAGTAATGTAATAATTTATTGAACAGTGCAAAGAGGTTAAACAGCATGTTGGGCACATTTTCTCAGGGTAGATTTTATATCTTGAAATAATGAAGAAACTTTATACATATACACCTAGATACATGTATTCTTTGACGTTTTGTGTTTTTTACGTGTATGGGATTTTGTGAGGATTTGACTATTACCTATTATTCTATTATCATAAAAATGCAGAATAAAAGGTGCTATATTATCAATATTATCTGCTATATTTAAATACATGCAATGACATATTATATGCTTTTATTTTTGTATATGCAACTATACTGTACTCATATTCTATTTTACAAAAATTAATAAAATAATTTATATCATTTCTTAAGAAATTTATTTAATTAACAGTAAAATTCAACTCTAATAATTGTCATAATATGTTAATATGTTAATATGTTTAAGTACAATTAATAATTTGGAAAATATAACTTTTTTTCTACGTTTTTACTGTACGAATACTTTTGCTCGTTACGGTATAAAAGATAGACAAAAAACATGATAACAGTACAGGAAATTCCAATTTTACCATGTAAAATAAAGCAACATAATAAAAAATAAAGAATAAACGAAGGTAAACAATATTCATTATTAATATAATTATTTATTCTTTATTTTGTACTATGTAATTGTAATATTATTTTACTTTTATTGTTGTGAAATAAATACCATAAATTTGTACACTTTATTGTTTTTCAATTCATTCCTCGAGAAACAATTTGAATGCTACAATCATCTTTAAAAGGGAAGATTTTACTCCTTGGGCTCCAAGTTAAATAAAATCGAACAAAAAGGACAAAAAGTGGAAGGTTCAAGCTTTTCATTTGAAAAGATGAATGTCGACAAAGTTATGGAACATTGAATGTTAACAATTTTTCAGTAGTGTACAATTCAGGTAATACTTTTTGGGCAGTAGCGTGTAAAGTTGGTAGCATTCGATAGCGATTCCCGTCGACCTGCAGGTTGCCTTCAAAAGTTACGTACCAGCAGGTATTAGGTGTCATTCCGCATAAAAAGATAAGAACAAAGTGTGGAATAACATTTTTTCGTTTGAGGCTTCGTATTCGAGAAAATCAAATTTGAAAGTCTGCTGGATACCCGTGCAGTTATTGAATGGGACTTGGCTAGCGCGTCCGTTCATTGCATTCCGTTTCTACTTGCTACCATAAAGAATAGATGTGTTTTAGATTAAGGGTGAATACCACTGCAAGGGCCGGGAAAATAAACCTTTTATAAGAATTTTTTTCAGGAATAATTTACAATTTCCACCCAAAAAAGATTTATTACCTAATTTTAGCACAATGTCCCAAGAGATTAACAAAACAAAAAAATTAACAGAAAAATATTCAGAAATTTTAATATACCATTAATCTTTTAGACTCCTCCCAAAAAATCATTAGTCGCTGGCAGGATGCGTAACTTTGGAACAACAGCTCTGAAGTCAAATACAAATAATTTTTTATAAACTATATTAGACTAGTTTCCGTTACACGTGCGGATTTTTAAAGAAAACTACTTTTGCAAAAACGGCGCGCTTTAGAAAACAAAGTGTCGAAAATCCGCAAACAATGGACAGTTTTTTGGGTACATTTCATAAAATTTCAAAATCCGTAAGTGCAATTGAAGGTTAACTTGTTTTAAGACTCCTGTCAAAATTTCAAGTCGATTGAATAAAAATCGACACAGTTATCGTACCCGCCGGTTAGAACAATGTCGTTTCAAGAAAAACGCGTTTAAAGTTTCACTTGAAATTATTACAATGAACTCTTACGATATTGCCGCTTGGCCTATTGCCATGCGAGGCACTTCCCTTTCACGCACACAAATTGGCTTTCCCACCACGTTGCGTATGCTGTCGCTACGAAGGGGGCTCTCGACGTAATGCCGTTTCCGAGAATTTTACTCTCTTACAGCCCCGGCCGCGGCATTATCGTAAGAGTCCACTGTATATGTAATCAAAATGCACTGTATCTTTATAAATTCTTCGAATATCGATTTGAAATGTTCAGATAGTGTTTTTGAAGAGTTTAACTTTAAGAGAATGCATTAAAAAAAATCGATTTTGCAAAAAGTTTCACAGTAGTGTTCCCCCATAATAAGTCTCAAATGAAAAAATCTTATTCTATATTTTTGACTTATTTTTTTCACGTAGAATCATCTAATACACGCTTGTACATAACTTTCGGAGGCACCCTGTATAACTTCACGGATTCAAATTCGTTCTTGCCGTTGGAACCGAAGTTTCCGACTCTAAAAATGGAATTCCGGTTCCGTTCGATGCCGTTTCGGCCTTGCCTCACGATGAAAGAGTAACGATCAGACTTTCGGGTCGCAGTGTCGCTGAAAGATGTACTAAATTGGGCCCGAAACCGGTTCCTACGTGCATTCCCCGCCAAAATTCGTTTACGAACCTCGGAGTTTTTCTTCGACGTTTTACTTTCTTCCAACGCGATCACATTTTTTTTTGCGGTCCTGCCACGAATCTCCATATGTTAATCTTTCCCAGTTTTTCAGGAACCGAGGAATTCCATTCGAAGGATTGGGTAAGAGTTTCGTTGTTCCTTTTGCGGAGGTTCATTTAACGCGTTGATTAGCATGTGATTCGCATACAGGGAGTATCGGAAGTACTTGAATCAAAGAATTCCATTCTGTTGGATCGTTCGGAAAGTCTGAAGCGTCTCGAGGATAATGTCTTCGTTACGTTTTTACTGGACGACGGAAAAATTGTTTGATCTTGTCAACAGATACTAAATGCAGGGTGATCAACTTAAGGCTTCCATTCCTAAATTATTTAATTTTACTGTACCATTAAACTTTTGTTTGAAAAATGTTTTTTCTACCTCTTGTACTTTAAGAGTTATACGCGAAAATGTGTGTGCCTATTTGACTTCAAGTTTAGTTTTCACACCTTTAACGAGAGTTGTTAACTGTCCTAATTCCATTTTTCAAAACAATTTAGTTACTCAATCTATGCGCGTCTCATTGGTCCCAAGAATACAAATTCACCATAATATAAAGAAAATTCAACCTAGAAGACAACAAATATTCTTTTGAGTCTTAACTCCGAAACTACGAAAGTTTGTTTTCCTTGACGGTTATATCTCCAAATACTAATAACAATTAGAAATTGATGTTGATAATACGATAAAATTTTGTTAAATATTGTACTAAATAGCTATTCAGTGGATAATATTATACTTAGTGGGATTTATTATTTTTCTACTTTCCCGCTTCTGTAATATTAAACTTCGGAAAATTTCAACTCAGTTTTCTCGGATTAGAAACTAGTAGAGATAGAACAATTAAGAACTAGAGCGATGAACTGTTCCTCTTCATCGTTTTCGCTTTTCAGAGGAGCCACAACCAAGCAAAGGATGTCCTCGCGCTAACGGATACTTCAAGCACGAGGATCCGACCGCCTGCGATCGTTTCGTTAATTGCATCGACGGCGTAGCACAAACGTTACCTTGCCCACCCGGTTTGATCTACGAGGACAAGATGTCGAGTTGCGTGTGGGCGGCGGACGCCAGCCGACTCTGCGAGAATGTTAGAAGAGACGTCCTCGACGACGGTTTCGTTTGCCCGGACGGCGATGTTGCGGGACCACTTGGCAGGATCCTGCCACATCCTACGTATCCCCATCCTGAGGACTGTGCCAAGTTCTATATCTGCAAGAACGGCGTGGACCCGCAGAAAGGACAATGCGACGCTGGCACTGTCTACAGCGAGGACAGCTTCAAATGTACCGAGCCAGAGAATGTACCTGGATGGTGAGTTTTGCAGAGTGAGATTTTAATGTATAATGCGAATTCGAAAGGATTCAAGCGTGATTCGAGAGTAGTTTGAGAATAATTCGAGAATAATTCGAGAATAGTTTGGGAATAATTCGCGAATAGTTTGAGGATACATAATTCGACAATACTTTGAGAATAATTCGAGAAGAGTCTAAGAGTATTCCGAAAATGTTTTGGGAATAATTTCGGATTAATTCGAGTATAGTTAGATAATAGTATGATGATAATTCGAGAATAATTAGAGAATAGTTTGAGAATAATTCGCGAATAGTTTGAGGATACATAATTCGACAATACTTTGAGAATAATTCGAGAAGAGTCTAAGAGTATTCCGAGAATGTTTTGGAAATAATTTCGGATTAATTCGAGATAGTTTGATAATAGTATAATAATAATTGGAGAGTAGGTTGAGAATAAGTCGAGAATAGTTTGAGAATAGTTTGAGGATAATTCGCGATTAGTTTGAGGATACGTAATTCGACAATACTTTGAGAATAATTCGAGAAGAGTCTCAGAGTATTTCGAAAATACTTAGAGAATAATTCGAGATTAATTCAGGAACAATTCAAGAATAGTTTGAGAGTAATTTGACAATAGCTTGAGAATAATTCGAGGAGAGTCTAAGAGTATTCCGAAAATGTTTTAGGAATAATTCCGGATTAATTCGAGTATAGTTAGACAATAGTATGATAATAATTGGAGAATAGTTTGAGAATGATTCGAGAATATTTCGAAAATGAGTCGAAAATATCTTGAGAATTAATCGAGAATGATTTGAAAATGATTCGATAATAGCTTGAGAATTATTCGAGAATAGTTTGAGAATAATTTGAGAAGAGTCTGAGAGTACTTCGAGAATAGTTTGAGAATGATTCAGGAATACTTTGAGGATAATTCGAGAATAGTGCAAGAATAATTGGGTGTACTAATTCAGAATAATTCCAAATGATTTTAAATATGCCTGGGTTATGAATTCTCCAGATGAAAATTTGCGATCTGGTTTCGATAGCCATCGATGCGATACACCAAACGCAACACTAAATATAATACAAGTAATTTCTTAGTAATCTTTCGTCCGAAAACATTATTTGTTATTTTTCTACTTCCAGTATTTATTCGCGTGTTTGTCTTCTTTGTTACAGCGAGGACTACTACAAGAACAAGAACTAAGTAAAGACAAGGGTGCCAGTTACTCGGCGGTGCATCTCTAACGCTTAACTCTTTTACTTATTTTTTTTTACATTTAGGAACAATAAAACCCGTGATACACTTACGTAAATCTGTGGCCTTTGTATATAACCTCCCACGACAGTTACACCTTTCTCCTTATGTAAACGGATTACACTCCGGAAATTAAACAGAAACGATAACTTTGTTGCGGCTTGTTACGGTCGACGGGAAAATGCGGATCGGTAACCGCGATTTAACATACCGTAAAGGAACTTACAATAGCTACGAAACGTTCTGGAAAGGATTTACCGGAGTTTCTGGTCGGAAAATTGAAATCGATTCTAACATCGATTGATTCTAATTTCAAATTGAATTAAATTCTTATTCACAAAATTTTACCTTTAAAAATTAATTTACCACCAACAAATTTTACATTTGAAAATTATTTTTTTCGATTGAAACAGTTAACGGTAACTTTAATATACTTTCTAAAATCTATAAATTCATTTTTCTGTTTTTTTGTTTTATCAAACATGGAATATCTAGAATTCATGATACTAGGACGCCATTTTTCTTAGTCGGCCACCTTGAAAATATTTTCCGTTACCACTGAAGTTACTAGAATAGCAATTTTGACGTTAGAAAATGAATGAACGGTATCTGAATAAAAATAAATAGCTTGTACAAGTTATTATTTATATACAGGGTGTTTCATTTGTCTGCACTCATAAAAGATACGTAACAAAGTTTATATTAATACAGGCACTGCAACTGAACACGGATGGAATAAAGTGTATATCAACATCAATAACATCTTTGTATATTTCCATAGTGGTCAATCACAATTAAGTATATTGTCTATTATGTAAAAACTGGTTTCCTCAAAGACTTTGCTGAAGGTCAATCGAAGCAAAACGCCCTACATAACTAAATCAATAAAATAATTACCTGTTTGGTTAAAACAAATTACAATATCCGAAGTGAATAAATAACTACTGTAAAGCAACGAATTTTTTACACTAATTTACCGAAACAGGAAGAGAATACTGCGGGACATAAGTAACGTAAGTAGCCTTTAAATATTTTGATATTTGTCAGCGAGCGGTTTCTACATTTTATTTCATAGAAAATATCGGCGAATTGTCTCCAATTGCGGTTCTCGATGTAAATTTCTGAAAATCGATCTTGTTTGAATACAATAACCGACGGATAATGGCTCTTTGGGTTGCCAGACAATTTCACTTAATTCGCCTGATTGCAACCTTTCTCTTTACGTAATTTACGATGTGCTCGATGAAACGCGCACTCCGCGACCCTCGTGAACGATTTTCATCGTGGCCGAGCCTAGTTCGCTATTATAAAATTATGAAGCTTTGAACTTTCGGTCGATTTGGAATAATTGAGAGAATATTTTTGATGCACCAATGCATTGCAGGAAGAAACCGTCGAAAACGAGCTTTGAACCGAAAATTGTTTGCTATTTTATATTTACATTCCTGTATTTTTATTTCTTCTATTTGTTACGTAAATAACGGTAGAAAGTAGATTACACATTTTGTGTACAGTAATTTGAACCGAATTTTTATCGACACAGGAAAATAGAAATTGTAAATCACTTAAATTGTTTTGAAGATCTTCCATAATTGTTTAAAAATTTTCCGTTCCTTTAATAAGCGGTAATTATTCGCTAATGGAATAAATTGAGAGTTAAAATATCCTTAATGGTAAAATCAACTTAATTAATCTGGTGTTTTATTTTCTTGTACTAACGTATTTTATTTGTTTCTTTATTCTGTTTTCCTCGTTAACATTGTTTTTATCGTGACGGAAATTAAGTTTAAATTTATAACAACTTCATTTATGCTATCTACTTTTTTATGCATTTTTTTATTGCGCATGTTCTTGGAAGTATCATGTTTATTTCTCATGCAAAATACGTTTATTTATTTCATTTTTTGTAAGTATTATTATTGCTGCTCTACTTCATATTTTTTCATAAATTATCATAAATTCAATTATCAATTAATACTACGTAATCCATTCCTTTATAAATGTTTTCAATTTTCATTATAACTTTAAAGAATGGTTTTCAGCTAATCTACTAAAACACAAAAATCTTTTGTCAATAATTGTTCTATTTTAAATATTTCACATATGCATATTTTTCAAAGCGATCCAAAAAAAGAAATTGAAATTTTATGCCTACGATCGCTGAATTTTGTACACGTAAACTGTATTTGTCAATTAATGTAGGCGTATTAACTTTTATGTTAGTACATTAATTTACTTCATAATGATCATTAATGTATTGCAGCTTATCATTATCAACGATAACAACTGTTATTTAATTAACACAGCTACGTTTATTTTAATTACTATTATTTCAATACACAACCTACTTATAATACAAATTTAATACATAATAAAAATGTATTACTTAATTACTAAATATTTACTAACAATAAGTTCTCAATGTCTATAATCAAGGTCATCAAGGTCCAAACAGCAGACGTTTGAGTAAATTCAAATTGTAGTAAGTAAAATAGTGTTTGAAAACTAGTAATAACCATAAACTGATTTTCTACACTGACGGTGAACTTTTTGCATAATAAACATCTCTTATTTAATTATTAAATATTTACTAAGTTTTCACTGTCTATGATCAAGGTCATCAAGGTCCAAACAGCAGACGTTTGAGTAAATTCAAATCGTACTAAGTAAAATAGTTTTCACAAACTAGTAATAACCAAAAACTGACTGTTTTCATCAACGGTTCCATTAGATTGAAAACAAACCGACGACATTTAAGCATTGTTAAAGTCTCTGTTTTATACAATTTCAATACGCAGTAAGTGAATGAAATGTTCGAAGTCTTAGTCATACCAAGCTCAGAATACTTATTTGTAGCAGCTTCTGCGGTCAGAATACTTACGACACGAACGCAATATTTCCGAAGGAAATAAAAAACAAAAACAAAACGGGGTCAGAGTGTAGTTTCTCCAAGTAATTGCTCGCTGGGGCAATTTTCTGATTGGTATTTCGTCAAGAGGACAGTGCTCGATCATCGATCAGACACATGACCGTGACGTGTGTATTTCGTTTATCCGACTGGTCCACCGACAATACGGATAGCGAGCACCCGGGATCGTTGGTATTCGTCGGCTTTCACTGTCCATGCTTGGAGATCTGGTTCGGGACCGAGGTAGCTAGCAATGACTGTTACGTAACGCCAGTTATAGTCCCGGAGGGATATACAGGGTGGACAACTTGACCTGATCACCTTAAGACGGCTTACGCAAATTTTTAATAATTATAAGTTTAATTGAAAATTGAACAGAACATTCTTAAAAACTTCAATTTTCGATTGCCACCAAAAAATCACAAACTGAACGATTAAATTATTGAAAAAGGGACGTTATAAACATTTCGTTTTAACACAAGTCTTATGGATCTGTAGTTAATACTGAGAAGTTAATCACTTCTTATTTAGTTACAAAAAATGACATTTTCATAAATAATTAGGCGGTTGTAGATTTTGTTACGGTGATGGCATTTTTATGATGGCATGGAAAAAATATATGTTAATGGTCAAAGAAAACTAAACATTAAGTTCAATATATGCAATCTTAGGTTTTAATGCGTTTGGTATTATATTCTACGCATGTCTGCTATGAACGTCAACATCACTTGTTTTCCTTTAGTTTATTCGTCGAACTTTCCAATTTTTTGTTCAAAATTAAAAAACAAATTAAATTTTTTTTACAATTAGGAAGAATAATTTTTGTTTCTTTGTACTTATTTGTAGTTTTCCATTTCAGTATTTTGAAGTAGTTTAAAATACTAATCATTCAAATGAAGTTGATACAATTGATCAAAAATATAAATCGTCATACAGAGCCCAAGCTAGATACGACAGCAAATACGTGAGCTACCTTAAGGGGCCAGAAAAGGGGGAATGTTTGAAAGAATCGATTTTTATTACGATATTTCGAAAGTTATAACATTTCAAGAATACTTTTAATATCATATAATGTTTATTTATAAACGGGTTATGAACCCTTTGGTACAATATACAAGTACGCCAAATTTTGTTTTTATACGAACATTTTGTACACTATTTTAATTTAACACGAATTAGAAAAAAAACTGCTTTCTCATTTTACACGATCTGTTTTGATTTAACAAGATCGACCCAAATTCTAAGAAACAATTTTTTATGAAAGGTCTTGAATGAAGGTCTTTGAACTGGCCAGTAAATTGGGCAATCCTTTGTCAAACATGATCCTAATGAGGAACGAGTAGGAAAGTTTCAACGTGATCTGAAGTAATTAATGGTCGGTTACAGAGAACTGTATAATGGCCTAACTAAAACACGAACACCCACGATTAATAACTGAATTCGTTCCTGAAATGAGTGAAACATCGTCACCACAGTAGACTAGTGCTAGTTTTGTTCAAGAGATCACAAATAGAATTTCACCAATGGAGCAAGAAGACGATGACCAAGATATTTTTGTTTTCTTGAAATGATAATTTACTTTATATAATACATTGTTATGTACATGTGTAATCTTTATAAAATAAGAACTGTGAACATGTAAAAATAATAAAAATCTAACATGAATTTTCATATGGTTTATTGTATTATTTTTGTTGATTTTTTAGGACTGTAACCAATCTCCTATTTTTCCATAGATATGTAGTATATTATTTTACATGAATGTTTTCTGTATGCATTCTTCCGGACTGTATCTATCGTGTGAAAATAGAATTTGGAAGTCTAGAGGACAAACGAAAAGTTTGAATATACAATAATGCTTGAAGCTATACCAGAGCTTACAAAGATTTATAGCAACTGTACGGAAAGTTTAACAAAATTTATCAAAAGTTCTGCGGAACTATAAGAAGACTTACAAAAATAAACAAACAAAATTTACAGAAGTATTTACAGGAATATACAGAAAGTTATTATTATGTAGAAACATGGGCGTAGCCAAGGG